CAACAATGGCAGTGCTCCCATTCAAAAATCCCTCATCTCACATCCAGTTTGGCTCTGAGTGCAAGACCAAACACAAGCAAATTAATTCCTTCATCTCAGTCTTCATCTTATCCTGTGTGCATTCTGCTTTGATAATCTGCATACATGTAATGATTTGTAGCTTTGTTGTCTTTTTTTCCCCCTCAAGGACGGCTTGGGTTCAGAAAATCAAAGCTGCTTCTGAACTTTACATAGAAACAGAGAAGAAGAAAAGAGAAAAGGCCTACCTAGGTACTGCAGTGGGGGTACAGTATTTATAAGTTTTCCCCAAAATATCAGAAGAGTGTTTTAATGAATCTTGCCTGTTCTTGCCACAGTCCGATCCCAAAGGGCAACAGGCATTGGAAGGTTAATGGTGAACATTGTTGAAGGGATTGAACTGAAGCCTTGCAGATCTCATGGTAAGAATGTAATTTTGCTGTTTAACCTGTAACACAACAAAAAGAAGGGAACCTCTTGTGGATACTTTAATCTGCTTAATGTAAAAAAACAAAACTGGGAGAAAATGTGTATTTTATAAAAGGGCATGTGATTACTCTTACATAGATTGGTAGCACCTGATTATTTTGCACTAATGTTAGTGACTTTCACTGATAATAATAATCTTTATAGATCATGCACACATACAGAGTGGGCAAAGAAATAGCTCCTCAAACTTGTCAGCCTTGAAAAAGATTACAAAATGCATTTGGATTCAGCCCTGTTTCTTGGCCAACAATTTATACTGTTGGAATTAATAAGTTTTCATATCTAACATAGTGGTTAATATTGTTTGACCACAGATTTGATTTTGGAGTAGTCATATACTCAGGTTGCCAGGTAACATGACCTTGTTAAAAGGTAAAAAAAAAACCAGGCCCTTCTGAGTCTTTTCTGGAAACTACAGTGGCAGGTTACTGAATCTGTACATGCCAATATATAATCATAGCTATGAATCTATTTGCATTCTCCTTTTAGGAAAAAGTAACCCATACTGTGAAGTTACAATGGGCTCTCAGTGTCATATTACTAAGACAATACAGGACACACTCAATCCCAAGTGGAATTCTAACTGCCAGTTCTTTATCAAAGATTTAGAACAGGATGTACTCTGCATAACGGTGTTTGAGAGGGATCAGTTCTCTCCAGATGGTAAGTAGCACCTTCTTTTTTTATCTTGGTATTTGTGTGTGCCCCTGTGTGTGTGAGTACAATAGCTGGTTTTTTGGTTTGGGTGAGCCCACTAAGCATACTGTCTGTAAGACTGTGTTCTTATGACAGCCTTTGATCTCTGCGTTGTTTGGACATGTAAGTGAAGACACAAAGGACCGTTCATGCACTTGGACCTGTCAGTTTCTTTTTTCCTACTTAGAACCTGCTGAAGCACTCCTGAATGCCAGGGATCTTCTGAAGCAGCCATCGATGCTGTATAAGAGGAACATAGATTGTTGCCTTCTATACATTTTTGGGGTAGTCCCTCTCTTCCTGAAGAGCTGGATTACTGTCACAGCATTGGAAATACAGAAGTGCTGTGCTAGGGGACACCATCTCTAATGTAATAAAATAAAAAATCAAGTTCAATATATAGGCTATAGAAGTGCTAAATGTATGAGAAGATTTTCTGCTTCCATTTTTAGTTTGATCTGACTGTTCATGCTGTGTCTCTTCATTACAGCCTTGTCCACATAGATGGCTCTTTGCAAGGGAAATTTGTCATTTCTAAATCATGGTGTGTATGCTGTGTTTCAGACTTCTTGGGCCGAACAGAAATCCGTGTAGCTGACATTAAGAAAGATCAGGGTTCAAAGGGACCAGTTACAAAGTGTCTTCTCCTACATGAAGTCCCAACAGGAGAGATAGTTGTCCGACTGGATCTGCAGTTATTTGATGAACCTTAAAATGGAGATGCTTCCCCTACTGAGATGACTGCAATAGGTTTCTGCAAAATCTGTCTGGTGGGATCTTCAGATCTTTTATAGGAAACTAATACTTGTCGCCAGGTATGAAGAGGGATTATTAGACCCACACAACTCCTTGTGTCTGGATAATCCTGGCAGGAAATGGAATTCCAAGTTTGTGAGGAAAATGTCATATTTTGTCTTGTTTTTGATTTCTTGGTTTTATTTTCTGTGGAACTTCTGTTGTAGTTTTCAGGATTTCTAAAATAACCAAGTTGTAAATGATCCTCTGACAAGGAAGGTAAAACACTGCACTTTTCTGCTTACTGCAGCATGCCATGTCAACAAGAAAGGGTGGTCTTGACATGTCTTTGCAGATTTTCCTGTAAATTTCCCCTAGAAATGTTGTGCCTATTGCCCCACAGAGTGGTGTGTAAACATAATGTGAATATATTTATATAGAAAATACCTATAACATGAATGCATTCTTGCCATGTAAGATATTTGGATTTCTTTGAGGAAGTTTGTGATATTTGAATCTGTTTTCAAAAAGGAAAGAGAAAAAACAAAAGAATATTCCAGTTTGAAGTGTAAATGACACATGCCTATAACCTGGAATGCTTTCAGGAGCTGAAGATTGCTTGTTCCATGTATTTGTCAGAAATAAGCAAATACATTTTGTGGATTAAGTACTGAATTACTGGCCCAGGGCTCTTTTTAGTGGGCAGAACTTGAAATGGGACCTGATACCTGTTGCTTCCCATTTGTATTGGGGTATCTTTCACCCAAATTAATAAATGTGGGCCATATTCAGTGTTAGTCAAACTTAGGCCCCAACCCTTCAGTGAGTCTACTCTAACCAGACTAACATTCAGTGCAACACTATCTCTCCACACATTAGTGCTTCTTGCAGTTGCATTTCAGTTCGGTAGTAAATGACTGATCAAATTAGCAAAGCTTGCACAGAGTCCTGCTGTGGGTTGTACTGTACCACTGAGACATGAATACTGAGCAGTTGCTAAATTGTGGAAACAGCAGTGACAAGACACACACACCCCAGCTGCTTTGGTTCAGGAAAGCTAATTTATGCTCCAATAAGATAAGGCTGAAAAGGCTGTCGGAAGGGACTGCCTTATTAAATAGTACTGTGCCTAAATAAAATGAATTTGACACCATGGTTTTGAAATCAGGGTGGCAGCATACTGTAGCTCATTGAGGGTGTTAACTGCAACTGTGGTTCATCACAAATTTGTCTGTTTCAACATTAGGTGTGCCGAGATTTTTCAAAGCAAGTGATCCTGCTCAAAAGAATGTGTTGCTATGTTGGTAGTGTCAAGATTCATTCACATAGGAGAAGCCTCGATTCAGCAAAGTGCTTTGAAGTCATTTGAATGAGAGAAGTATGTTAAGACTTTTGCTGAACTAGGCACATTAATGGTAGAACTTTGGGAGTATGCTCATCTCACTACCAAGGACATTCATTCTTTGTTTTCGGTCCTTAGTTTGTTACCCAACAATCATGCATAAATGGGTATTTTTGTAATGATTTTCAGAATGGGAGGAATTGACTGGTTTGTTAGCATGTCAATGTTCTTGTGAGGTGTGTTGGCTTTGCTGTTCTTTGCATGTTGTTTTGGTATCAGTTTCCATGTTTCCTGTGGAGATGGTGTTCTCTAGCACAGCAAATCTTTATGATTTCCATTAGGAAATTAGGATAGCTTTATACTTGATAAGTAGATAAGGTCTGGTGATAAGTGTAAACTGTGCTTGAAAGTGTATGTGTTCTGTTATTTTCAAGGAGACCACTGTATTATTTTTTAAAGAGCTTGTATGTTGGCGGGATGAAAAGTTTACATTTCATACTTTTAAGAATCGCTTTATTGTTTATTTATTGAAGATAGTGTAGAATTTTGTATCAGAAATGACATACTTATGTATTTTTTTGAACAGAGAAACACACTTTAGTTAAAAATCTTTCAATTGACCAAGTTTTAGAGGAAGTTTAACTTAACAGGCATGCAAGTTTACCACTGACTGGTTGAAAACACAATTAAAATACTTTTAAGTTTCTATTTTTCAATGTTGTTACAGAAATGTTTGAATTAAAGTATGTAAATAGAACTAAACCCATGCTTTCCTTTTTCCATATCAGTACATTTTATGAAATATAATGTATATGAAAATAACACATTGTTGTGGTAGAGAAAAAAGGTACCAATCCTTTAGTGGTGGAAAAATATTAAATGTCATTGTTCTAACCTTCTTTGGCTGTCATAATTTTACTCAATAGCTATAACTACGCTGACCATTCCTGTGTTTATATATTCAAGGTTAATCCCAATGTTGAGAGAAGACAGCAGCATACACCGTTAAAAACAACAAATTATCTCTGCTAGAGAAAAACCAGTTGCATCTACACAGATGTGGGCTTTTTCTCACACCTATGGTGGCAGCTATGTGTGGGCTTTGTTTTCCAAGAACCTGCTGCTGTCATGTAAGAATAGGGTACAGATCTACTGCAGACCAGATCTATTCCTCTTGCCCACAGGCATATTTATACCTCTTTAGAAAGTACAAGTTTTTGTGTGACATGTAGAGATAAATGTTCTCCACCTTCCATGTTCTACTATCTACTCCATTACTATCTGCTCTACTATCCTCCATTACCAAAGCCTTTTCATTTAGGTTGGATATGGCATTCTAGCTATGTACCATGTATGTATTCAGTTGTCTTTTTTTAAAAAAATGGAAACTTCGAACTGCAGCTTTGGGGATCTCAGATTCTTCAACAAGCTAGATTACTACCATTAGTTATATGTGCATGTATTATGGATGAAAATGTAAAGGTAAAAGGAATTCAATTCTTACAAGCGAAAGTCCATTTGGAAAATATGTAAAGACAGGTACTGAGAGGAAAATAAGCAAAGAAACAGGGGGATGGGGGGGTGTTGGTTGAACAGTAGTTGAACAGTAGTTTAAAAGACACACATTGGGGTGTGTCTTTTAAAATGGGCAAGAAGAGTTGAAATAGATCTACTTCTGAGTACCAAAGCCAAATATCCAAGTGACACCAACACCACCATATAGTTAAGGAAAACCATTTTATTGTTTCCAGAATAGAGTTTAATGGGATTTAATGAAAAAGACATGTATCTAGACAAACACTAGACAGTTTCTTTCATGATCTTGCTCAGTTTCTGAATCTTTGTTTTAGTAGACATGTCAACGTATTTCTCTCCAATGCCAACAATCATTCCTCCCAAGATTGATGCATCAGTCTAGAAAAAATAGGCAATGTTTCTTATTAAATAGGAAAAATGGACTATGTTATAACAGAAAGGCTCATTAAACTTGGATGTTTGCATTTATATTTTGACTAACCAATACAATCAGGTGCACTCCTAAGCACACTGATAAAGAGGCTGCAGAAGTCCCAGTTTGGAATAGTTGTAGGACCTATTTCTGTCTGGACTCTAAACATGCATAGAATTTTGCCCTTAGATGTATTTTGTGCCATGGAGATTTATTCTGTACAAAATAAAATCCTTGTAGCAAAGTTACTTAACCATGCTAGGACAAGATTGCAGCTGATATCATGTTTAATATTTACCTAAGAGGTCTATGTATTGTTTTAGGCCCTGAAAGAAATAATTTAAAAAAAAATCTTATCAAAGTAATGGTAAAATCAGGATGCTGAATGGAGCAGCAGCCAGAATTCCTGTCTCTTCATCCACTCTTCCATCTGTTAATTTAAAGCTATATATAAATGTGAGATGTTCTTCACCATAGACAGGTTCACAGGTCATTCTAAGCAACTCTTTACATGAGGTACAGTGGATCAGTTGTTTGCTGAGCAACCCACAGAATGTGTGACATACTGTCCGGAGGGTGCACATGGCTTGTCCTCCTCTTTCCCTCTCAAGTACTTCAGCTGACTTTAGCCAGAATCCCACCTATCTTTGTAAGAGATCTTATCTTGTCTCCAAGGCTCAGGCCCCTCCTGGCTCCAATCACCACCCCTTTTCATTTCCCACCTTTATTTTACAGTGCTTCAAGAGTATGCAAGTATTTGCAGTTTTTAAATGGTTTCCCCGTATTTTTGCAAGTGTACATACTTGCAATCCAATATGTGCACTCCTGCCACTGTCAACCGCAGTGCCAAAATGGAGTTGGCAATGCACAGGGCAACTGACAAGATGAGGCTTCATCTAGACTAATCTACACACAGTGAAGGCCCGGGGAAATAATAGTAAGACCAGTAAGAGTGACCAACAGTGCAATTCAGAAGCAGTAAAATGTAGGATTGGGGAAGGGAAACAAAGTGCATCCATGCTAAGAGAAGCAGTATCATCCCCTTAGGAATGAAACCCTCTTGTTTACCTGCTGAACTGACACTTCTCATATACAAGTGTATGTTACCTATCCTACTTTGGTACTTCTGTTAACAGCAGAAGCATAAAAGGACATGACCAGGGAAGACTGTACATACTGGGACAGATGAAGGTACACTCTTGACCACTCACAAAAGCATGGGGATTTTTTTTTTTAAATGGCTGGCTGCCCCAAGTGGGTTGTTATATCATGAGAACCCTATCTATGACACTTCTATCTTGCATGGTTACTGCGTCCTCATAGCTTAAGAGGCTAGACAATGGAACAGACCAATTTGTATTGGCTACATTTAGGATGTTACTGTTAATTTTACTGTTTAGACTTGGAGAGGCCTTTAGGATACATAAAGAAATTCTGGTGTTGACTGATCTTTGAAGTAGTCATTATCCTCACTTTTTCTTCAATTTATTGAAAAATGCTTCGGCTTTACAAAATATTCACACTTTTGCCCATACCTTCACTTCCAGTTTCAGGACTTCTCCTTTAGCTAGAAAGCTATTCAATACTGTTTTCAACTCAGTAAGAATGGCTTCATCTAAGGGCTAAAATATGCAAACAAAAATAGAATGATTTCAGGACTCAACAAGAAATAGAATAACAGAAATAAATGTTCAGTTCCCAAATACAGTGCACAACTAGGATGAAGTTGTGATATTTGTCTGCTTCAGAAAAGATTTTGTTTTCTGTTCATAGCTGAGTTAATATCATTTTGCTGATTTAACTGCATTAACAGAAATTCACATTTTAGTAAGCAGAAGGCTACTGAATTTTAATCTGTGGCATCTTCCAAGTTAAAAACAAAGGTAAAATGAACAAAATAATGATAAGTATGTATGCACTAAGAAACAGGAACCTAGACCAAAACAATAATCAGATAAAGGATATATTTTGAGGAATTACACTTATTTTTCCAGTTACTATGTTGCAGATAAAGAATATTTAAGGATTCCCAATGCTACTAGCAAAGTGAAAGACTGGGATTGGTTGAACTACTGGAATAAATTATGAGGGTAGGCAAAGTACACAGAAATATGTTTGTAAGCTATTTCTAGAAATTAATTTAAGAATACTAGACTGAATGGGCCAACAAGACTTCATTATGACACAACAGCTCACTAATTTAATAACCCATTTAACTTATTTTACTTAATATTAAGTAATGTTAATATTGTTATATTCTTCTGCTTTTTCAGTGTACAATAGTGACTACAGGCTAAGACTATCACAGAACAGATAATGAGATTCTAACAGCTTATATCTTATTAGCTTACCTGAGCAGTAGTTACAGAACATAACACTTCTCCACGGTATGCACTCATAATTTTACCAAATGCAGAAATTACACCTGGAGTATTACGCAAACGACCGTTTTCAGCAAGCACATCTTGAAAAACAAAAGATTGAGTAACAGTTAGTACAAATCATACTTGCAATGAAACTATGTGACAAATTATAGAAAAGTGCCTTCTATTTTTCAGAGCATGGTGACTGTGGCCTCAGATACATTTTCTTGTGTTTATGGATAAGAGTACTACTTACTGACAAAATTGATAGTGATAGGAGACAGTTTCTCTTTAAGAACAGCATCATTCATAGCCTTTCGCTTTACTGCACCCTTTATGTGAGGATTCATGATGATGCCAGATAATTTAGGGTCCTTCACAAGTGCCTGGAATTGCAACGGAAGACTCTCTATCAAAATCAAATCTGCTTCTAGTCAATTCACTAACTGTGATATAATTTGATCTGTCAAAATATATTTAACATGTGCTTTTAACAAAATTGTAACAATGGCAAAAGTTTAAGGATATTAAGTTCAAAACTACAATTGATAAAATAGCTAGAACATTAACAGTGCTTTTATGTCTGTTTCCTTAGAAGCAAATCCCCCATTTTTCAATACAATTATTCCTTGGTAAGTGTGTTAAGGAATAAAGCCCAAGTCAGAATAATTAACTTGATTCTGGGAGAAAATTCCACTCTAAAAGTTATTTTAAGGTTTATTTAAAACCCATTATATATGAATGTATCAATAGATTACAAAGGTTTCAGTACATGTGTGAAAATGGATTTTAAAAAATCCATTTAGGTTTACCAAAGCCAAAAATATTTTCTCTACTGTTAGATGCTTCTTATTCTTCTATAGTATAGGGTAATCAGAAGGGTGCAGTAACACTAAAACAACTTGTTCTGGCTTCAACTAAAAGGGAGAGAACCAGCAGACCTCCTTGGGTTATTTACTGAAACCCACACTTCTGTCAGGTATACAGAAGAGCATTTCTTAATCCTTTAACAAGAAGCCAGTTTTCCAATGTAAAAGACTAAACTCAATTTTTCTTACATTTATCCTTTGGCTCCTTTTTCTTCCATCACAGCAGGGATTTTGGCCACCCAGGGACCATTATGCTAATAGGTGGCTTTTATACAAATTCATCAATCAAATTTCTACCTGAACAAATATCCTGATAAAGAGCACACATCATTTTCTATAGAACAGATTTAACCCCATCTTTTCTTGACATATAATAAACCATAGGAATTAGAATCTATTTTGTGCCAACCATAAAGGATGTTCCCCAAATATTACTCATGAATATCAACACGTTCAGTGGATATAGATATTAAACCTAAGTATTATTGTTATATAAAGCATTATTACCATCACACGAGCCAACTCTTTCTCTGTCTGGTCCAACTTCTTCTGCTTAGAAGCAGCAGAATAGAGTGCAGTAGCATATCGACCTTCCAGTCCGTACACTTGAATTGGGGGCTATGGGGTGAAGGGGACACAAAACTGAAATTTTCCAAGTACATGTACAAGGGAAAAGAGATCTTGGGTAGCTTACTCAAGTCAATGAGATAGATTTATTAAGTGAGACCCTAACAAAATGTCACAGGATATTCCTGGTGTGTGTGCGCGTCAGTGTTGGAGGATGATGCTGAAGGCTACAGAGACAGAGGGAAGTTCATTTTGACTGCAGCCAAGAAATCTGAAGAAGATTGAATCTTGGAAAGACAGCAATGAAGGAACTAGGAAAGACTGTCTAGTGTAAGGATGTTTCACCCAGAGACCAAAGCCACATTACTCTATTTCCAATCTCTATGTTTGGGCATAACATCTGAACAGTGAAGAAAGCTCAGAGGAAGAAAATTAATGAGATGAAACATGATACTGGAAGAGAGCTTTGCAAATACTCTGGATGAACAGAAAGATGAACCACTGGGTCATACAGCAAATCAAGCTGAAGCTTTCCATGGAAACAAAAATGACAAAGCTGAGGATGTCATCATGAGAAGGCGAAACTCACTGGAGAAGCCAATAATGCAAGGGAAAGTCAAAGGCAGAAGAAGAAAGGAAGACCGAATATGAGATGAATTCACTCTATCCATAGCCTTGAACTTGGAAGAACTGAATGGCGCTATCAGGGACAGGATATTTTAGAGGGTTTTCATTCATAGGGTCACTGTAAGTCAAAGACAACTTGATGGCACATAACAACATCATAGTATTTTATCTGCAGTTGTGAACAACCCACAGAGCTTTGGCTACTGGAAAGTAGAGAATATAAATAACATTATACAGGTAAATTTCTATATTGCCCAATAGCCAAAGTTCCTTATAAGAGGAACCTGCAGGATCATGCTCTAGATCTACCCAGTCAAGCAACCAACAAGAATGTAGTCCAACTAATAAAGTGTGGCCTACTTTTGGCCTTCTTGTGTTTAAATTAATGTGGAAGCATGTAGTATTCACTAACCTCACTACACAGCAAGTGCAGCATACACATGAATGGCATGTTTTCTTTTGTGCCTGGTCAAGCAGTACAGATTGCTATCTTCATGCTTCTTTTATTAAGGTAAGATTTGCAACATGCTGATTAGCTCTACATATGGACATGACGACTGCCCAGTCAGTTTAAGTGGCACAGGTAGCACCTATACACAATATCATTATTGTAAAGAAGCACAAGGTCATTTTTGTACTATTGTGCTAATGTAGTACATGCAGCCTGTTCCAAAAACTGTGTGTTTAAGCAAAGTCTTTGGATCAGGCTTTCAACACACTCTTATGTGAATCATTATAATGAACAAAGTTAAAGAGAGATTTTAGGTCTACCCAAGGGCTTGGGCATGCACAGTGGAATGCTTGAATTCTGAACAGCACACACATTTCAGTCTCAAAAATGGTTTGTTATGTGACATGCTGGGAAAAACAAGCCCAAATCCTATTTGGATGCATGCAATTAGTTGTTTAGTTCCTGGAGTTCCTACCCAAGCATCAGCTATGGGATAATATAGAAAATAAACAAACAACTACATAGTAATCACACAATCAGGCACGGTTAGTAGTATGCAATGAACTTTAAAATGTGTACTTTCTGTAGCCCCATAAATGCAGTCCTATGCACATTTACCTACTGAATAATCCTGACCGAATACAGTTGTCTACAGAAAGTACCAATGAGTAGACATGAATCTGAGCTCTGTAAATTACTGAAATATATATATCAAATTTGGTATATTTCAACACAATTGACATTACAGTAAGATGTACTTTAAGGTAAGGTTAACTGAGCCAATGCTGTCATTATTCAATTTAAATTTACTGACAGTGTGCTCACCTACAGATCTACTCAAAATTAAGTACCACAGTTGAATGAGACTTAGTACTAGATAAGCAAAAACAGGAATACAGTCTTAAAAGCTTTGGTGCAGTTTGTCAGCACAATTTGGAAGACATCAATCAAACTTACTTGCACTAATTTTGATACTGGTCGTACTAGGGAGGTACTGAAGTGGCGCACCTGCAAGAAAAGTTATTTAATTTAAATAAAGTAAATCAAACATTTTCAATGATCGGAAGATAAATAGCAAATGTGTTCCAAAATTATCTGTAATTACCAATTTCTTTTGACATTAATAGGATAAGATTCCAAATGGATGAAGAATTGTGTGCAAAAAATCAAGTCCTTCTCCCTGAGACAAGTATTCCTAAACAAGTATTCAAAGTCCAAGAAACTTATATACATATTATTATTATTATAACATTTCTATGCCGCCCCTTAGTTACATATATACCTCTGCCACACACAATACCCCTTTCCATCGCCTCTTTAACACCTCAGTGTTTCTCATATTACTCCCATCTTTTTGTAGAAAGTGTTCCCCTACATGCGACTACCAGAAGCAAGGACTGGGGTCAAAACCCATAGAGCAAAACGATGAAGGAGCAAGAAACCACAGCTCAGTGACAGAGCACCTACTGTGCATGCAGAAGCTCCTGGGTTCAATCCATGGCAACTCCTGGAAGGGCCAGAAAACAAGGCTTGAAGAGCCCCTGGCAGAGACAATCCTGAGCTGGGTGTCTCCCTGGGTTGAGTCGGCCGGCACAAAGCATTTTCCTATTTTCCAAGACCAGGACAGTTGCAAAGGATCGGCATCCAGAAAGGGAGATCGCCTTGCTCTGAGGTTTCTTTCCGTGGAAAGCTATCCGTGGAAGCCCTGCTTTTAGAGCATACATACACCAGCCCCACACACCCTAGAAGTCCTCCAGTGCCGCATCGTTTTGATGTTTCTGCCTTTCCTCTAAAGTCTCACAGCCGCGAGAAAAGTATCCCTCGCCTCAGAAACCAAACCGAAGAACCACACAAAAAAGGCTTCTGGCAGAGCCCCTGCTACAGCTTTATCACTCACCTTCTGGGACAACCCCAGAGCGGCCGCCATCTTCTCCTCCTGTAGGTCAAACAGGGTCCTCTCCTCCCCCGCCCAATAATAGGAGCGCATGCGTAGTGTCTCGGCGCACAGCGCGCGAAGCCACAGCTCTCTGGGAATCGTAGTTTGTGTTGCTTGTGGGAGGAGACGAGCCGGACAAGCAGAAATGGACGTAAAACAGACGCACGTGATGAGACACGTTGGGGGATAGCGTATATTTGCTCTTATTTCTAAGTGCCTTAGTTCTGGTGCGGCCGGATCCTGCGGTAAAGAACGAGGCATGCCGCTTCTCACCCCCCCCCCTTTTGCGTTTTATCCATTCTAGTGCTGCCAAAATAGTACAGAAATGTGTAACGTAGAGGAAGCAAAGCCCAAACGGAGACTTAAAGAAGCCTGGCAGTTTATGGTGAACATATATCCGATATGAAATTTATTGTTTTTTATGCATGATGGGAAGATGATTGTAGTCATATCGAACACGCGTTATTTCCGTTTTCCTTTAAGTGTTAGCTGATTCCTTCCTATGCTACCGACATTTTTTTTAACAATCCTGTGTAGCAAAAGATACTTCCACTCCACCGAAAAACCGCCAGCCTCCATTTAAACCCGTTTTGTTCGTATCAAGGTATTTGTTCCTTAAGTATGTATTTTGCACCCCTTTCATATCCCTACATAGGGTGCAATCCTGTAAGGGGCAGTAACGTGACGAAGTCCCCCCTATGCTGCTGGAAAGCCAGCTAAGCTGCCACCATGACAGACAGACAGACTGCTGGAGTACCTCAGCAACTGATGTATTCTGTCAACAGAAATAGCAGAAATGGTGCAGAGCTGTGAGTGGCACACCTTCCCCATATCCTGTGTTAGCCTTCCCCACCTGGCATCCTCCAGATGTGGTTGTCTACAAGTCCTGTTACATCATCCAGCATACTACCTGCAGGTGATAGGAGATGTAGTCCATATTCTTGCAATCCACAGCCTTGTCCCCCATGGCCATGCAGAAGTTTACATCAGCCCAATCAAACTGCTAGATGAGGGAGCCCATTTCAAACAGTTCTTGAGTTCTAAAATATCTAATCTGGTCTTTCTTAGAAAACAGTATGGATTTTTAATTCCATCTTTATGCTTTTATTGTTGGACATTAATGTAGCTTTGTTATTTGCTGTAAAGTATCAAAGAACCCTAGAAAACAAACAACTGAGGAAAAATAAGTGGTCATCACTTTTAGCATTTAATCAGCACTACTGTTTGTTTGGGAGATTTTGGTTGAGTGGACTTCGGTGATAACGAGAGTAATGACAGCTTTTACTGGAATGGGGTATTGCGACTGTCTGACAAACCCATCAGTCCCAGCAGAGTGTAACTGACGCACACAGCCCTTCTTCCCAACTAGCAATACATGCATTCTGGGCTTCACTTCAGGATGAACACCAACAATCAATTTATTACCTATGGAACCATTTAGGAAGGACAGGGTATACCATGGCTTGGCTTGCTTTACCCCTGGCTGCTGTATTTCTTCAATTTGCACAGTGCAAATTATGCAGGAGGTAATTTGAACACTAGATGTAGCTATTGGCATAGACTGAGAATCTTGACAACTAATAGCACCGAATCTGAAGAAAGATGTTACCATAATGCTCTTTATGTTGGACAGTAACTGGAAAATATTACAGCCAGAATCAGGATTCCAAAGCAATATACAGACAGTATGAATAGGGGAAAAAGTTTATCTGAGTATATGTCCTTGCAAGGGTGCAAAGTCTTTAATAAAACATAGTGCAAATCAAATTGGCTAGATACCCCTGTAGGCAGAGGAACAAATGGAGTCCTGAGCTTACACTGAAAGGACCTCACTTGGTTGTTTTTAAATTTCATCCACAGGGTTTTCAGGGCTTTACAGAAGATGACATCACTGAAGCCAGGTGTGCTGTAGTTGATACTGACAAGGCACTGCAATTGGACATCAATGAAAATGATGTCCTAGAGTTACTCGAGTACCGTTCTGAAATCTTGAGCAATAAAAACCTTGTGGAGATAGAGGAGCAGCCAAGAAGAATGGGACATAGAATCTCCAGAACTGAAAAGGTTTGTGATAAAAGAGTTAGCTGAAGGCTTTAATCATGTCAAAGTAGGGATGGCAATGTTTGAGGAGCAAGACTGTAACTTGGAGAGAGGTTCACAAAGGTTTATCATGCAGTTACCAAGGCCTCAGATACTACAAGGCCATTTATGATAAGAAATAGAAAAAGGCTGTACAAAGAACCCTTGATGCCAACTTAGTTAATGTTAGGCTCAATGTTACCTCAAGAATGTTCTAAACTGTTTTAGGAACACTTTCTTTTATTATTTTTGTTTTTTACAATACCTGCACACATATGGATTTTATCTCTCTCTTCAGTACCTGTAGTTACTTTATTATTACTGTATTATTATCATTATTACAATGCTGTATTGAGTTTAAGATGTTTTAGTGAATATGGTAGTGTTTCTTAAGTGTTTTATATGCATTGAAAGGTTATATATATATACACACTAAGACAAACATTTGGCTTACTCATGTGATCCAACTTAAATGCATTTTGACTTAAGGATGTTCTCAGCAATGGAACTTGTTCTTAAGCCAGGGACTACCTGTATTGTATTTCAGTAGTGCCCAATAGTGAAAGTTCTCTGGACAGTTCACACTTTTTTTTAAAAAAAGCTTACAGATTTATAAACTGAGCAAGCATGCACACATGCATGTACACACATGCACACACAGAATTATTAGATTTCATTTTTTTCTGCCATGTCCAAGCAGCATGACAGTTGGGATAGCAGGGCTTTCATCATTATTGTAAATGTTAAGCAGCCAGCCCAGATGGGAGGGAAACGTGACTCATGTTAAATCCAATAAAATGAAATGATGTTCTCATTTGACCTGAATGTTGTAGAACTGGAAAGGTATAAATATTTTAATATGTCTCATGGTAATTGGACTTGAAAATAAAGCCCTTTTGTTTAAGATGAGCATTAACCATTTCGATATGAATGACAACATATTCTGACTTCCTTAGTAACACTTAGTAGAACAGTTACCAGCTTGAATATTCTGGGCAGGCATCGGTGAACAGGTAGTCCTGGTTGTGGTAATCAAATGAAGATTGTGATATAAGGTAGATGGGGGTGTTTCAGTTTGTTTATATTGGTTCCAGGTGCAAAGTTCTTGCACAGACTTTCCAGTTGTGCACCCATGAAGCAGCAAATGTTAAGCCTCCCTACAAAGGACAGGACAGGTGTAACAGAGCAACTGTTAGGAAGAGCTGTTGTTTTGGCTGTAAGATTCTGAACCGGGCCTGTTTATGATCCTTTTGTACAGAACAAAGTATTGCTGGCTTCTGAAAAAAAATTAGTCATATTGACATACAATAGTCTTCACAACATAGCTTGTTAGAAGGCATTGTTAAGCTTTGACTGTCAGACTTGTGGAATGACCATCATTGTCATAAATCTAACAAAAAGCAAAGGTAGGCTATGTTGGTCTGTAAGTGGTGGGGGTGGTCAAAAATAGTGAGTAAGGTTCTGGGTTCTCCTGAACATCCGTTAGACTGGACAAGACAAAAACATGAAAGACAAAACCAAACATGTAGAAGATTAGAGTAGACAGTTGTAGCAATAAAGTTTGAGCTTATATCCAGCTTCGATATGGAGATTGCAGATTGAATGAATTTGTCTTTGTCAGGTACTGTAAGTACACTGAGGATTCTGGGTTAGAAGGAATAATAACTGAGTCCCAGTTTGGAAAAGAAAGACCATCTGTCACCTAGATTTGTTTCTAGATTTAAGTGAAATGCAAGTTCCTGGTTAGGCAGACATCATAACAAACAGAAATATATTTTTTTATTTTTAAAAAATCTTCAAATCTTATAGTGACTGGAAGAACTCAAATGCAGTAAGAGAAAAGGCAGTGGTAGAAAATCATTTCCCTCTGGTAACCAGTTCTGGCCAGGATGGTTAAAGATGGCCCAAGAGTACACAAAAACAAAACGGAGGACAACATGTTGGCCCATAAGGGGGGAACCTCCC